AAACGGAAGAGCTGATAACAATGAGACCAAGAAGGAAGAACATGTTCTGACAGATGGTAGTGTTGATTGATTGTACTATCGAATTGTATATCAACAAAATGATTTTGTTTAAAACATACAGCCTCATCAGAGTCCCCAAAAGCAATTACCATCACCTTCTGAGGTCCAGTAGATTCCCCAAGTAAATAACTATCTTAATTGGACCTTGCTCTCTGGATCATTTTGGTTAAATCAAAATGATAATAATTTTTCCCAAACAATCATCTTCCTTAGTGTTACTCTTGCTTTAACAAAACGGATGGAAAGCTCAGCTAGCTGGTCTTTTATGCAACACTTTTGACATCCAAACTTGCTGAGCAAAGGAAGTTTCCTTCAAATCCAACTGGCAGACTGTGTGAGGCCTCAACGTTAGTAGCTATCACATCAACGAGAATTCTAAGGTCTTCTTCCACCGGCTTGTGGATTTCAACCAAAATTCCTTCTTCGTAGAGGTTGAAAATCTTTCCTCTCTTGGCTTATCGTCAAGGTCTGTCCAACATTTCTCAAAATATCTTGATCCATCCCAAAATTATTGCTTTCCTATAAACTTGTTTAGAAGCATTGACGATTTGAGAAGACATCATTTGAGTGTTGTTAACATTTTATATTAATCCTGACCTCAAAGTTGCTTCATTCCCAAAGTGCATCGTTACTGGGAGTAACCTTCTTGAAGCAGCGTTACTTGTTTCTCTGGTTTGGGGTAATTGAAATCAAGGGACGTTGAGCTTATAGGGAAAGCAAATACAAGAAGGGTTTGGGGAGAAGGGGGCTATAGAGGGGTGAGGGAGTTAAGAGGGAGAAGATGTCAAGAAGTCCATGAAGTAAAAGCATGTTTGGAAACTGATTATGGAAGCAATTGTACAATTATGTTTGATGTGATTGAACCATGGAATGATATGACATAAGTTAAAGCAATTTTTTTAAAAACGAAAGCATAAATCCAAGAATGGGTTTTGGGTTTGCACTAAACCCTAGCTCCAACTTAAGAACAATCAGTTCTTACATCCTGGCCCTGCTCAATACCCACCCTCAGGAAGAGAACACAGAAGATACAGGAACTATAGTAAAATGTGGTGAAGAATTTAGATGGTGCCTGGCTATCAGATAAAATAGTGTCTGGGGTCTTAAAGGCTTATCTCCAAACAAACAGCCATCAAAATGAGATGTCGACTAGGTCCCCATGGAATAAAGACACCATCATCAGTCACCAAAGAATTGGAATCCATATAATCCGAAAACGAAGGAGGGATCAGTATCAGAGCCTAAATTGTGAGAATCCAATGAAAGACAGTGGGAGCCCACGATCCATTTGTGGAACTACTTAGGAAATAAACCTCCAGAGAACTCCCCATATCTAAAATTGAGGGAAGGGAGGAAAGTGGTCACTAAACAGAGTGCTTGGGAGAGAGGAGTATAGAAGATCAAAGGCATAAATCTGAACAGTTAAAACTTTGCCAGTAGATCTCCCCTACGTTGCAGGGTGGACCTGATCTGGTTTCCAAAATGTTCTGTATTTTGGTTTGCATTGTTTTGTTTGTTCAAATTAGAGTGTATCTCAGAGGTTTTATGTCAATGGAGGTCACCCTCTTGAAGCTGTGTAATACACTTTTTCAATTTTGAGTCTATGAAACCCAGTACTGATGAACCTACAGAGACAACAAGAAAAATAGGGATTCAGGGTGGAGGCGGGTGTACAGCGGTGGAGGCGGGTGTACAGTGGTGGAGGTGGGAGTACAGCGGTGGAGGTGGGGTAAAAGGGAAACAATGTCAAGGAGTCCATGTAGATAAAGAATGTTTGGACACTGATTGTGATAGCAATTGTACATTCTACTTGACGTGATTGAAATTTGGAATGATATGATACATGTATTAAATCCCCACTAATGATAGATAGATAGATATAGATAGATAGATAGATAGATAGATAGATAGATAGATAGATAGATAGAATAAAAAATTGCTTCCTTTTCATGGTATAAAAAAGCCCTAATGAAACTAGGACAAGTATATTACTAGAGAACTTGTCCTCAGTCATCCATTAATCTCAGAGATATGTTTAAACATGTTTTACTTGGAATAAACCCATGCATTCATGAACTGGAATACTAGTAGCAATACTTTTTTACTTATCCTTACAGATCTATTGAAAAACTTAACGCTATAGCTGGATGCCTTTAAAGAAACAGCAGAGCTACACTGGTCTGTTCATCTTTTCAATGAGATGTCTCTTCTGTTTCCCATCATTGCCAATTCAAGGAGCTCAATGCTGCTTGTGCAAGTAAAATAATTCTCACCAAATACATCTATTCACTAAGAAGATCTGCACTGAGAACCTCCTTTATGAGGTAGCTCCTTAAAGGTTTAGGAATATGTCATGAAAAGATCCTGGAATCTGTCAATGAACTTCTGAAGCCCCCTTGTATGATCGCTTTCTTCCTAGAATACTAGGCTTTGAGGACATAATCATGAATAAGCGTTACAAAATGTACACTTTTACAGAGCTTGTATTCCAATAGAAAGGAAAAGGGACAATAAACAAGTGAACAAATAAGTATTTTCAGATAATGATAAACCCAAATCCCACTGCCATTGAGTGGATTCTGACTCATCCTTCACTTACCTTAGGAAACCTAGTAGAACGGTTCTGTGGGGTTTCCCAGGCTATAAATCTTTGTGGATCCAACAGCCTCATCTTTCTCCCATGGTGCATGACTGATGAGTTTTGCCTGTTGACCTCTTGGTTTGCAGCCTGATCCTTAACCCACTTGTGTTAGTCTGGGTTGACTAGAGAAAGAAATTCAGACACTCACATGTCTATAAGAAAGAGTTTTATATACAAGAGCAATTGAATATTGAGAAAATATCCCAGCCAGTCCAGATCAAGTCCATAAGTCTGATATTAGCCAATATGTCTGATACCAATCTATAAATTCCTCTTCAGAATCACGCAACACAAGCAATGACACAGAATACAGGAAGGTCACAGGCCAGTGGGTGGAAAGTCTTTTGGATCCAGTGGAAGTAGAAGCTTCTCAGCACTGGCAAGGGTCTCCACGTAGCTCCTTCAGCTTCCGGGCTCTAGCATAGCTCCATGTGTCTTCTCAACAGGAATGTCTCACAGAGAGCGAATGTGTGTCCCGCCTCCAGTGAGCCATTTATCCCTTTAGCACCTTCAAATGCGTCATCAAGCTGCGACCTGATTGATAGGCTAAACGCCACCCCATCACTCTTAAATCCCAAATTGACCACAGATTATGTATATACCACACAGATTATGTATATACCACACCGAATGGGCCCTCTTCTGACCATGCAAGGTGCCAGGAATATGCTAAAAGAGCGCCATGCCAAGATACCAAAGATGGGAGGAAAGATGCTCCCGCATGCATCCTCGATCTGAACTCTCAAAGAATGAGAAAGCGTCATCTGGAGGAGGGTTTGGGCAGAGGGAACAGCAAGCACAGCAGGAACAAGGGCCCTGAGGTGAGAATCAACTTAGCTTTTCTGAGAAACAAGAGACCCGGGTGGCTCCTGTATGCTGCAGGGAGGGAAACCTGGTGTGAGATGAAGTCAGATAGGGATAGGTAGTGATTATACCAATAAAAGGAATTTGGATTTTCTTCTAAATGTGACAAGACACCCACAGAGAATTTTAGGTAGGGAAGTGAGGGGTACAATCTGATTTGTAGTTTGAAAAAATTATTTTGTCCGCTGCACCCTTAGAACCAAAGGTAGAAATAATAGAAGATGCAGCAATTTCCATTCATGGCAGATATGCCATCATTTCTACTAGCAATACTCAACAGAGCAAGCTGTACAGTGTAAGATGCAGCTCATGACTCACTTCACATGCTTTTTTAAAGCTTTGCTAGTAACAATTAGTTTAACCTAATGTAGAACTTTTGAAATCTCTGATTCTATCTATACCTTTCTGGGAATGCTTACTTGTAATTGGTGTGATAATTATCAAACTATTTCTATATTCCAGCAACTGTTCTACCCTATGCTTTTCAAGCTACCTCTAATACAAATTTGTTCTTCTTTCCCAATCCATTATAGAAGAATATTTCAAGAAAATATAATAAAAGTACTAGAAAAAAATAAAATTTAAAAAGGTATGCAAATCAATGCCTAATATGTTATTAAATTCCACAAACGTGAAATAATATTTCAAGAAACAATCCAGAGATATATAAATGAAAAAGTAAAACAGTGATAAAACTATGTGTTATTTGGTAAAAATATATAAATGAAGGAAATCAGTATAAGGAAATTTTAATACATCTATAATTTTTGTCATTCCATGAGAGTAAATAAAAGGTATGCAGGATATAGCAATTCTCCACATTAAGCACCTACCAATACACTTTCAACAAACACCAAGCCAAAATCCAAAGTCACTGTTGTTATAGCAGCTCTAGGGAACAGAAAACTGCCACATAGGATTTGATAGGCTGTAAATCTTTATGAAAGCAGACTGGACTTCAACTACTGATCTTTCATTAGCGGCCCAGCCCTTAGCCCACTGCACAACCAGGGCTCCCGGAACATCAGCATATCAATAAACTCTGAGTCAATAACCTGATATTTTGATATAACATGTTTCATAAATCATTAACATCTATTTCATTTACATGTCTATCTAATCGGGTGACATAGTGGTTATGCATTGAGCTGCTAACTGCAAGACCAGCCGTTGGAAACCACTGGCCTGTCTGCAGGAGAAACATGGAGCTTTCTACTCTGGTCAAGAGTTACAGACTCAGAAACTACAAGAGCCATTCTATCCTGTCCATAGAGGGAGGCACTGTGAGTTGGAATCGATTGGATAGCAGTGAATTTGTTTTGGTAATCAAGCAAAGATGAAGTGAAAACCTAATTGTCACTACAGTCATTCCAAATTTTGGAATAAACTGTTTTCAAATATTCTGTAAAATGCTTACATTACAAATACTTAACACATACTTACCGGGCAGGGGAGATACCATGATCAAGAAGGTAGTTTTCCAGGGCAAGGCTTATCCATCGCACTCCAGATGTGCTGACCCCTGCAATTTTCCCAAATGTGGGAAACTCGACTGCGTAATTTGTGGCAGTGGGGGACTGTGTTCGCGCTCTCCCCTGGGGGGGTGGGCGGCGGGAAATACTTAACACATCAGCTTTATCCCAGCCTTGCAACACGATCTGATCAAACGAAAACTTCTTCACTGTTTACTATTTGAACCTGAGCTGATTTTTGCAGCATAGGAAATTAGCATCTTAAGGAAACAAATTCTACTTAAAGTAAGGAAATATAGAGATAAGAGAACATTTGGATCATAATCTACCTTTCCCATTTTGCAAGCGAAGTCTTTAGTAACTAGGAATAAAAAAATCTTCTTTTGTGATGATGATTGTACAAGTCGATGTGATTGAGCTATTGGGTTGTATGATAGATGAATTATATGGCAATGAAATTGCTGGGAAAATCCTCTACTTTTTAAATTATATGAAGAGATAATGAGACGATTCTCAGATTCTTGCTTTCTTCTCTTGTTAAAGGAACAAAAGAACCCACATCACAGGGTGGCTCCCAAGCTACTTACTATTCCTATTTTCTTAGCTGAGCCCTTGATTCTCCGACATCTGTGGCCCTTAATCACCCTCAGTGTAGCTCATTACCTTATGGTTTTTACCAGCCACACACAGATCTATCTTCCTTACCCAGTTCTCACTTCTAGCGGCAAAATAAGGTTTATGTCAACATTAACTTGAAGGATAGTCTTTTAACAGCTATATAATAACTTCCTTAAAACCGAAGGATAAAGAATGTGCCAAAATGTCAAGCAAAGTAAAAACAGAAAACAAGATGCCCTCTCTATTTCTTGATGAATACTGATTCAAAAGCTTGAAAAATTAAAAACAAAGGCGATAAACACGGATTTTGAAAGGCGTTTTAGAAGTTACAGTAAAAGGATAGTGGCTGATGCCATGCACTGAGGTGCCTTTCTAGGCAGAGAACTCGGAACAAACTGGGCCGCAGTCAATAGGGGCAAGCCTGGGAACACCTCCCCTTCTGCCAAGGTCCAGGGGCAGGTTCCCAGGTACAATTATAGATTCAGAACCCATATAATTCATTTCATCTTTTTACCCTCATTTTGGAAGATGACAAAAAAAATCTTGGCCCATTTAACTAAAAAAATGTCTGCATTTCCCCTGCACTGTCAAATATCACCCTCGCTGAGAGAATAAACTATTGCTATTTGCATATTACAGATGAAGTGGCAAGGATTAGGAATAGAAATTAAGTTACATTTGTCCAATATTACAGTTTATATGGTAGAGATTCCAAGCCAAATCTGATGGTTTTCAGCCCCAGGATATACTGCCTGCTTTAGACATGGCATAAGTGCTGACGCTAATTATTTTCCCTGGTGTTTTTAGAAGGCATACAAATAGCGTATTTTTGAAATACATACAGCAAAAACAATCATACCATACCAATAATAAGACTTTCCCAATGCTCTAGTATCAGTTCCAGTTCAGTGAGACCATCTACGACAGAGAAGAACTGCCTCAATAGTGTGGCTAAGACAAACTTCACAGAAGCAGACAGCATCATCTCCCTCCCATGGAGTGACTGGTACGTGCCAACCACCGACCTTTATGTTAGCAAACAGCTCTTCAGCCACTATCTCACCAGAGTCCTTCTAATAAAACTTTAACCCACGATCACGGAATCAGTTCCAACTCAACACAAGCTTCTACAGGTTCCAAGACTGTAAATCTTGAGGGGAGCAGGCCATCACTGCTCATCTTTATCCAGTGGAACAGCTGATGGGTTCGAACTACCAACCATGAGGTTAGCAGTCCACTGCCTTTCCCACAATGCTCCTACAATTAATATATTGTGTTGTATTGTATGCTGTGTTAGTCTGGGTAGACTAGAGAAACAAACTCATAAACACACAAATGTGTATAAGAGAGAATTTTATATAAAGGGTAGTTGTACATTAAGAAAGCATCCCAATCCAGTCCATTCCAAGCCTATAAGTCCGATATTAGCCCATATGGCTGATCCCAATCTATAGAGTCCTCTTCAGACTCACAAAACACACGCAATGATGTCAAGTACAGGAAGCTCACAGGCCAGTGGGTAGAAAGTCTTGTGGATCCAGTGGCAGTAGAAGCATCTCACTGCTGGCAGGGATCTCCGCATGGCTCCTCCAGTTCCCAGGGTATGGGGTCTATCAGTGTAATGCCATGGCTCTTTTCAGTAGAGCATCTCTAAGGGAGTGAACTGAGAGTCTCACCCGCCTTCAAAGAGGAAAAACCAGAATTCTCAGGAAAAAGCCAGGCCTGCACAGAGGCTCATTGGCTATGATCTGATTGACAGGCTAGAGTCCACCCCTTCACTCTTAATCCTCAAATTGACATCAGATTATGTAACTACCACTTATGCTATATAATTAATATAACAAATAGAATTCATATAATTATTTACAAGTGTTTCTTGCACATAATTTGTTTTGAATATCATTTTGTGGAATACTGAATTTTTAGTTTGAGCATAATTTTAAAATGCCCTTCAAGAGAAACACATCCAGAAAAATGTTTAGATTAAATTCTAGTGTGCCAGTCTGTGACTGGCAGCCAAGAACTGCCCTCCTAGCCATTCACACTTCACCACAGAACACTGACTAATGCATGTTCACAATGATGAGAATAATCTTGAAAGACTAAGTGGTCACCTTCAGTTTTGAGCCACCACAGAGGATGAGGATGAGTCGTGGAGAGTTTACTGTGACCTCATTCTTCACCTTCTGATTTCAGAAGTTTGACTACAAATCAATAATTCCCAACCCAATTCTATGTTTTCATTATGTGAATTGGGCCACTTCAAGAACACAGAGAAAAACCAAAATTGCTTCCTACAGAAGGGTCAAGCAAGTTCAGACATTCATCCATCTATTCCGTCTACAACAAATGCGTAGGCAACTTTATTTTTCTTTGTAAACAGGAAATAATCATCTTAACACAATATTTTATACATGCACAAGGAAACGCTAATAATTATACAAAGCTATAAGCAGCAAGAAGTTAAACAACATCTTCATTAGGCAAATTTGCTACAAAAAATCTCTTTAAGACGTTAAAAAAAAGAGATGTCACTTTGGTAACTAAGATGAGCCCTCCCCACGTTGTTTCAATCACGTCACGTACATACAAAAGCTGGATAATGGAATAGGAAGACCCAAGAAGAATTGACACATTTGAATTATAGCAGTTGGAACAAATATTGAAAATATCATGGACTGCCAGAAGAACAAACAAATTTGTCTTGGAGAAAATATAATCAGAATATTCCTTGGAACTGGGAATGGTGAGACATTGTCTTGATTACTTTGAATATGTTAACAGGAGAACCCAATCCCTGAGGAAATGATCATGCTTAGTAAATTAAAGGATTAGTCAAATGAAGATCCTCAGTGAGATGGATTAAGACAATGGTAACAACAATGGGTTCAAACAAGTCAAGTATTGTCAGGCTGATGCAGATAGGGCCATGCATGGTTCTGTACGGGTCATTATGAGCTGGAGCTGCACCAACACAAGCTGATGCTTGGGTGCCATCAAACTGGATGGGCATCAATCAAATCTCTGCAACTCTGTTTTCTTGATGTGCTTACTACGTTGTAGGAGTCCTATATGTGATAATCTTTAACAAAATGACCAAGGTCTGTTTTTAAGGTCAACCCTAAAGGATCAGAGGAATGAAGTGCATGCCTGTAGGTCAATCACAAAAGATTGACTGAGCCACCCACTTAAAATCTAATTGATAGCTTTGTGCTTGACTGACTATATCTGTAATAACAAATAGGATTTTTTAAAGACTAGATGAGCAATTCAATGTCTAAAACCTAGGATTTTGTTGGTGTTGTCTTTTTTTTTTTTAGTCACAGTTTGCAATTACCTTTTTAAGAATTAAAAATAAAACATTTTATCTGATAGCAATATATGCTCTATTATAAAGTATTTCATGCATCTTGTAGCAAAAATTAATATAATACAAAGTACATAAAGTAAAAAGTTTAAGTCATATGTCATAATGTGATCCTTATTTTGAGTTTTCTAGACAATCTTTATTTTTTTAATTAAATACTTTTATTGGGGGCTCTTACAGCTCTTACCACAATCCATTCATTCATCCATTGCATCAAGCACATTTGTACATATGTTGCCATCAGCATTCTCAAAGTGTTTTTTTCTACTTGAGGCCTTGGTATCCGCTCCTCTTTTTAATTTTTCTAGGCACATCTTAATTTGTTCTTGTCAGGTTTGCCTTTTAAATAGCTTGTTAAACAGAGTCCCTATACAATGACACAATCTCAAAATTAAAAATCAATGCATTATGATGGCTGTGGAGGGAGCACTAGCAATAATTATGGACAAACACAGAGAGAGCCAGAAGAGTGAGTATACCGTGAGCATCCAGAAGAGCAAACAAGCCTGTTAGAAGGAATACAGCCACTTACGAATTCTCCTTAGAACTGAAAAGTGGGAGACTTGCGTTTCCTGTCCTTTGGACATGGTATCAGGAGGCACCAATCCCTGCAAAACGACATCATCGTGCTTGGTACAGTCGAGAGACAGCGGAAAAAGAGGGAGGCCTTCCACGAAATGGATTAACTCAGTAGCTGCAACAATGGGCTCCCATATATCGGACGTGGTGAGGGTGGTCAGGACCAGGCAATGTCTGCTTCTGATGGACACAGGTTGCCGTGAGTCATCGTTCCCTAGACAGCACAGCACAACAACATAGTGTGGACTTGTGTTTCCCCACCACACGTTTAACAGGTTGAAATGCAATTGCTTCAAATCTGTAACTCTTTAGTGTTACAAGAGTTGAGAATGTTAAGTATCTTTTTCACTTACGATGCATCTAATTTAAATATATATATTAATTGCTCATAAGAAAATACCTCTGTCAAAGAAATAAAGGAAACACATGCTCCAATGTGCCTGGCTTGTTGGTCTTCGTTTCAGAAGACTCTCAGTATCTCTATAACAGAATCATCTAGGGGAGCTTCAAAACAGAGACTGCGACACCCTTGGGTTTCCGCATCAAAAGGTCAGAGTTGAGA